ATGGAATTGGCTGCCTTCTTCTTGATTCGGAAGTCATAAAGAAGAAGCAGGCGAACTTGCTCCTTAGTAAGAGGGTAGGGCTGGTTCATGGCTGGAGAGCACCAGGGCTGTAATAATATACGGTTGTATGCCGAAGGACACGAATATACGGTTGTATGCCGAAGGACACGACCTACTTATAAACACACCCAGAACATTCTAGCATGCTCTGGAAAAAAATTGTACTGGATATTCAAGAAATTCCGAGAACTTTCTTTCCAATCAGATAATCAGCTCCAAAGGATTCCTCATATACTTCATGTGAGGAAAATAAAGAAGGAAATATTCCTTCATGAGGGAAGAACAGAGGGAAGGGAAAAATAGGTGGGATTCATCTGAAGTGTTTCCTCTGCAGACTCTAAAAACAGTTCCATTTATCATCAGGTGGGATTTTCAAGGAGACTGATGTGGGGAAATGGGTGCATCTGGTGTGTGCATTGTTTGTTCCTGGTGTTGCATTTGGAGATCCTGAACGGTTGGCTTATGTCACTCTGTTTGAAATCAATTATGGTCTGTGGGGGGCAAAACCCTGCTGCATCTGCTCAGACACACAAATGAGTCGGACTGGAGTTTGCATTGGCTGTGATGCTGGTCTATGCAAGACCCACTTCCATGTCACCTGGTCTGTTATTTTTCCCCAATCCTCATCTAGGAATAATGGGGAAAATTACCTTTTTTTTTGGTATGCATGATGATGCTTTGTTGAACAGTGCTCAGAGGGAAGGCCTCCTCCATTATCCTCATGATCATGGTATGACTGCTGGAGAACAGGCTGATCTGTACTATGCTCATTGCAGACTTCATTCTGACAGAAATTATATCAGGTTAGTTGCTTTTGAAAATTGGTCCTTGGAAGCCTTTTGGAAACAATAAAAGAATTCAAGCAAATGATCAGTATGTCATGATAGCAAGTTTGTTTGCACAAAGGACAATGAATTTAAATCAATTTGAAATTACTTGCATCTGCTGAGGTGCCTGAACTTCATAAAATTATGCTGTCTACAAGTTTCACTGGAGCAAAAAAGGTTTTGAGAAAAACATCATCCTTCTCTCAAAAAATATTGTGCTCCCATGGGGTGTATCTCAAAATTAATGTTTTTCTTAAACTCACAACCTCAGCAGCTACATGTGTACCTAGTTACAGCTTTCTATCATATCTAGAACATGGTTTTAATTAGCATCAATAAGTCAGTGTCTCATGATTGTCTATGTACATGGTGATTATAATGAAAATTCTGCACTAAAGCCCATAATATCTCAGAAATGGGATGACATAGGAAGCTGAAATTGCACAGGGGTGTAACGGACCACGTGCTCAAAAATGCCGTTTTTATCACATGTTGTAATCAGGGGTGCCACTGTGACTTAACATCTCACTAATCACCTAATCACAGTAATTGTTCAACATATGGCCCTTCTGTGCCAAGAATACAAATTGAATAAGTTTCTACAGCAATGGTATTCATTTGAGGGATCACTTCTAGGAGTAGAAGTGCCAGAATATTCTTTTGTAATACTTAGCATTCACCTTGACTTAGGAATTCACATCTTGAAATGATTTTTATATTATTGTAAGATAAGCTACTTTATGATGAGTTTTCTCTGTCTGATTATGATTCCAAATAAAACTGCATTAGGTCACAGTTGTAGACCTCAATGAGTACTAAAAGTTTAACATTTTGCAGATAACCAAAGGATTGATTGGCGCTATGTAACACAGCTGCTATATGCTGGCAGTGAAGAACAATAACTATGCCTATGAGAAGGTAATCATCAAGTCCATGTGTGGCATGAATCTCATGGGACATATGGACATGCTTTTTGCTTTTAATGCCTTTTTTCTGTTTTTGCTATGCTTTTTATCAGGTATGCTCTGTAAGAAGAGTGGTATGATTTCTTCTTATTTTTCATCAACTTCATAGTCTCTCCATTGTATGCCTGGCATATATTGCTTCTTTAGAAGCTTCATTCATAAATTTTTAAATGAAATAAAAAAGCTTGAGAAGTAACCAGTCATTTGACACTCTAGCAATGGCTTGAAAATTGAGGATTTTTGAATCAGCTGCCTAGACTGAGGCAGCGATCTCCTACCTTGGCCTATTGCCTTGTTTGAGTAAATCTTCTGGTAGTTTCTCCTGCTTTGCATTTAGCTGGTAGATACTTTCTAAGTGATGGGTATGTCATTTTTCTGTCATTTGGCTTACAGAGATCTTGCATGAAGTATATTCCAGCATCAAAGGCATTCAATTCTGATAGAGATTAATATTCTTGATAACACCCCACTTTGTGGTGTTGCAGTTGATTATTAATAAGTGTTCTTCCCTATAAAGTTGTCTATAAAGTTGTGGGATGCTTCACTGAAGAACTTCCTTGAATTTGGTGAAATGGGGGAAGGATGTGTACTACCTGTTACATAGGCTATTGAAAGGCTATCCATTGATTTAATGAAAAGCTAGTGAAACTCCTAGAATATCTATGTTCAAACAAGGTGTTAGGAAATCAATAATGTTGAGGCAACTGAACTAATAAATCCCATTTCAAGACATTAGAGCAGCTGCAAGAGTGTCAAATTGCCATTTATTTTTTAGGCATATCTGATTAGCTTGCTAATGAAGCTGCTGACCATGTAGGTGGACAACTGGTATGAAGAGACAATGAAGGTGATGAAGAACAAGAAGCTATTGTAAGATACCATTTTTTTAATGACATCTTAGAGAGCATTGAAAATGACAGCACCCAACAGTGGTGTAAAACTAGTTGAAGCATGATTTAATTTTAAGGGATATGTTTATTTTCATGAAAAACACAACCTTGAAAGCAAAATTCCTGTTACAATCTCTAATGTGCATTTGAATTACAGAATGAAGAAAGGAAATTGGATGGCTCTAGAAGCACAGATTAAACGTCGATTGGAAGAACGGAAAAGCAAAGTGGAAGTAGGCCTCATTGGGCCTGAACTGGACCAGGGTCGGTTGATACGAAAGCTCAGGCGGCATCGAATGAAGTATGAAGCTTCCAAGGAGAATCGCTCTCGCCCACAAGGTTTTTATCTCAATTTCTCTCTCTTCTAGTAAGTTGTAAAGTAGTAGGCAAAGGAGTGCCTGTGCATACTACATGTAGGAACTGCTAATGACTTAGGCTTACCATCCCCTTGATATACTTGGTAATTTTTTTTATCTTGAAGGGAAGTTCGGAAAATGTTTTCCCAATGGCTGTGACATTTCTTGTTTTTTCTGATTGAAAAGTAAGAATTAAAAAACCTAACTGTTGGTGGTGATGTTGATTTCTTGCAAGTGTTACCTCATAAGCTGGGTCCACGTGCAATCACAACAAGCGCTTCAGCAGTGCGTCGTTTTCGACAAAAGGCAGAACTCATGGGTATCCCGATGGCTTCAGTTGAGGCATCCCAGGAACAGATGCAAAGCCTTGGAGATGTTCATCGCAAGTGGCATATCCCACCTGCTTTCACGTCAGTTCCTATCCTACTTTCCATGGGCAGCTTGTGATATTCAGTGGTAGTGTATTTGTAATGGAGGTAGGGTAGGCCTGGGCCTACCCTGCCTCCATTGACAATCCACTACTGCTGAATATCATGAACTGCCACTGCTACTTTCCATCTGTATTGAATAGAAAGAGATCACCAGCGTGAAACCTCCTACTGTGCTTTCTCCCCACTGTTTTATCTGTAGCATCAATATTCATAACATTTCTCCAATATTAAATTCACTTGCCTTGTATTAGGAACAGGGCTTTAGAACAGGGAAAAAAGCTGGAAAAAAAAATTACATCCTTTTTTGGAACAGGCTAAAGTGGGACTAGTGGAAAGTTTTTTTTTATCAAACTTTTATCAAACATTTTTGGATATGAGGCATTCCAGCTCAAGTGGTCAAATTTTAGTCACTTTTGTTGGACTTCAGACTCCAATTTGCTTGAAAAAATTATTGCATGTTGGCAATCAAGACTTATGAAAAAATCCAAAATTTTGGCTCTCTGTTTCTAACAGATCTCGAGATATGCAGACCCAAACTTTGCCCCCAAGAGGAAAAGTGGCCTTTGGGGTTAAAGCGTTATCTTTGGTTCTAGTCAAGCTAGAAATGCATTTTTTTTGCGTTTATTACAAACTGTGTTACGCAATTTCCAAAATGATAAATATTGCAGAATTTTGCATGCAAATTATTGCCACTAGGCAGCATGGTAACACCACACCCTTTCATAACATTGTAGACTAAGTTAATGGCAATTCAAGAACTAAATTTCAACTTCCTACGTTTTTTTAAGCAACTTAAAATAAAAATTGAAAATTCCAAAATTGCCTATTTTCATCAACTTTGGCAGTTTGTACTTCCTGTTTTAAATACTATAAACTTGTAACTAGTGTCAAATGAAAGCTCTCTCTAAGCGATTTCCATTGATATATTACTTGTGTTGTTACTTTTACTTTTTATCTCTGTGTGTTTTTTTGAACTTCTGAATTCAGCAAATTCACAAACAAAAGATTGACTGAAATTGCAGCAATGGGAATCTTGGTTAAACAGACCTATGCATATCTAACATTTGACTCAAATATCGCTATTTCTATTATATGCTTGCATTAAGCAATAAAATTACTATTTTCGACATGTTAATGGATTTCCAAGCGCAACAATTTAGTTGGTATCTTTAATGCATGCATGCATGTACATTTCAGAAGATTCAGACTTCAGAATGGAGTTGTGTTCCTTCAAAGTGTAATGTGGCTGTTGCATATGTCAAATGGCAGTGTTCATGCCTGTAATAAATCTAAATATAAAGTCTTTCAACGTATGAACACCGACATTTGACATACGAGGGGCAGTCTAAAAGTATTTTTATTTTGTTTCCCATTGCACAACCGTATATGCTACTGAACTGCCAACCATATTCAGTGTAAGGTTTGGTATCTGCCACCACGTAGTGGTCGTTGCGGAAACGAACTCTAATCCCAGTCATTGTGAGAATAAGAGGTTGACACAGTGGTGATGGTATGCAAGAACAAGTATGAAGGAACACCAGCTGGACAGTGATGAACTATTTGGTTCATCAAATTGAACTATTCTTGTTCTTGAATTTAGTTCCTGACTTTAGTTCTTGAATTGCCATTGCCTTAGTCTACAATGTTATGAAAGGTCATGGTGTTACCATGCTGCCTAGTGGCAATAATTTGCATGCAAAATTCTGCAATATATACTATTTTGGAAATTGCATAGCACAATTTATAATAAACACAGTTAAAAAATGCATTTAATACTGCGATTCTAGATTGTCTCAGCTTTACTTAGAGTCCCAAAACATGTTTCTAGCTCAACTGGAACCAAAGATAGCGCTTTAACCCTAAAGGCCACTTTTCCTCTTGGGAGTGAAGTTTGGGCCGCATATCTCAAGATCCGTTAGAATCAGAGAGCCAAAATTTTGGATTTTTTCATAAGTCTTGATTGCCAACATGCAATAATTTTTTCAAGCAAATTGGAGTCTGAAGTGCAACCACTTCTTGATCACTTGAGCTGGAATGCCTCATATGCTTTTTCTTAAAAATGATTGAACGAAGGTTGTCACCATAATGCAACCTAAGTGGAGGAGAAGTTGAATGTTTTTATCCTCATCTTTTGAATGAAAAAAAAAAAACTCATTTTAAAAAGAAGCAAAATGAAAAGCATAGGAGCAGAACAAACTGTTGGCACCAGGAACTGAGCACATATTGAAATCATAGCTCAAACCCAAAACTCAATTGGAATTGAGGCATTTCTGTCAATCTGAAGCTTTGAATAGGTACTCTTGTCTCACTCAAAGCATGTTTGATGCATAATCAGGTGTCTACAAATCAACAGTGATTGAAGGACTGCTGGAGCTCAAATGTTGCAGGATATTTTCTTCCTTTTCATGTCACTGGCTTAGTACTAGGTTGTAACGAAAGTTTTTGTGCATACAAGCAATGCAACAGTCTGCAAAGCACAATTTTTTTGTCACATTCTGAATGAAAGTGCGTTTTATGCAGTGCATAAATATATGTTGCTTTTTTTTTACAAATCGCTAAATTTATTTTTAAAATTACAGCGTTCAGAATGTGTGGCGAAAAAATTGTGCTTTGCGGACTGTTGCATTGCTTGTATGCACAAAAACTTTCGTTACCACCTAGTATAAAGGAAGCTTTTGGGTGACTGCATGCACCCGTTCATTTAAAATATTGCCAACATATTACCAGCCAAATGTGCTCAACATGCAATATCTGAGATCCACTTCAATAACCACTTGTTGAGAACAGGGCGTTAAATGCTTCAGCTGGACAAATTATGACTGAACTTGACCAGACTAGACAGGGCTGAACTGATTAGTTATGCAGTTGCCCTTAACATATTGACCACCAAGGTTGTTCTGCTAGTTCTTTCCTGTGGTGCTGTGTGGCACACATGCCAAGTGTTTATTTTACCTTTTGTGTTGTACAAAATGTGCAGTGACATGCTGGCATTTTACAAGGCAGTCAACATGTTAATAGTCATCAACCCTTTGTGGCATAAGAACAAATTACCAGAAATAATGACTTCAAATTTTGACCTGCTTGCACTTTAATATCACAATTGCTGAGGGAAAGTTTATTTTTAAAGTCAGTGGCACTAATGGCCTGGAATCATTTGTTGACATACATGGGCATTATAAAGAAACGGATTTAGTTTTTTTTACCTTTCATCCTTTGTTGCATAGCATCCATGTTTGTGGACATTTTTTGAAATTACAGCCCCCATTCTAAACAACTTTTACTAGGACATAATTTCCATATTTTTAGATATCTCACCTATAAGAATAAAATCAGAGACAGTGTACCCTGCCATTCTTTAGTGTCTCATACATGTTTTCTTTAGATGGTCATCCACTGGTGGCCCTAGGTGGGGTGTCTCTCACATCATTTAGTTTAATACGCATAGAATGATTTTTGGAATTGTTGCAAAAGCACTGGAATGCACTTCTGGAGAGTGGCAGGATACACCATCTCTGACTTTATTCTGATAGTTGAGATGTCCACAATATGGAAATGATGTCTTAGTAAAAGTTGTTTAGAGTGGTGGCTATAAATTTTTTTTTTTCTTGTCCACAAAGGTGGAAAATGTGCAACAAAAGGTTAATTCAGGAACTATTTTTCCAAGAATCTTGACAATTTAGTATTTTGTATTTATGAACAGCACAATTTATCCCCATGAAGTTTTTCTATTTTCATGAAAACTTAGTTTTAGGAGCCTAATGGACTAATTTTTTTCCTTTTAAAAATTGTCCCTTATAGTTACAGACAAATGAAAATAATACCACTGCAGTAATTGAATTTGCATTGCAATTGTTTCATGGTTGCAAATTACTGCAGAGTCCCAAATCTGCCATGGTATAACAGTTGAAAAAGTACAGTGATTAAGCTATTTTCCATTTAAGTAATTCAATTATTGTAATTTTCCAATCACTGGTCACTACAGTTCTTGAACATTTGACTCAGTCAAAAATGGAACTGTATCAGGGAACCCCACCAAATGTTAAAGCTCATGTCTTCATTTTTCCTTCAGTAACTCAATGTGCCTTTGCTGACCCCAGTCTGTTCCACATGTAATTGTTAATGTTTCTTCTGCAATTCCATTCATCACAAGGTTGAAGCTTTCCCACTCTTTTACATACCCCTACAGCCAGATGTTAAGGGGGTTGATGTCCTTGTGGAAATCATGGTAATGATCTGATCTTGCCTAATATGATTTGCATAAGAACATCTGACACAATGTGAGAAAAGACAAAATAAATCAGTTCCCACAAGTGAGGTGGCAATGAAAAATAACCTAAATTTGCTGTAGGGCTGGGCACATTGTTAAAACCAAGTTAGATGGGAAATGAAAAAAAGTGCTCTGCTTCAGCAGAGCCCCAATGTAAGTTTTTCTATGCAAAACTGGGAATTCCATGGATTGAGGGTAAATTATTCTGTTTCTAAGTTAATATTTCCAAAGTTAAAGATCATGAATATAATCTTTCTTGCAAAACCTGTATATATAGACTTGCAACAAACTTCCTTTTGAATTTTGCATGATTGTGGACAACTGGAGATGGTTCTTAAATAATGAATGGGTTAGTGTGGAATTGAAAACTGATTATTACATGGATGCAAGATTGCATATTCATTGCAGATTTGGTTACAATTTACTATTACAATTTTGATTGTCTGGGATTTTACTTTGGCTGCATACAAGGAAAAAGTTCAACGTCATTAAGTATTGTTCAGGATACAGTATTTGATTAAGGTCTATGAATATGAGTGTTACATTTTGAAATGAAATGAAAGGCAAGAGCAGAAGCAATTTTTTTTTTTTTACCAGTCAATTTGGTGTTGCTTTTGCTCCTTAGCAAGTGATGCCAAGGATGATCTGAATTTGCCTTCCAATGTTTTATCTTTAAGAACTTTGATTTTTTAGTGGCAGAACTCATCATTCAGAATTTAATCAATAGATTTCCCCAACCAATTGGCTCCTATGTAGGAAGTACAAGGAAAGAAACAAATTTGTCTCTAGTTTTTTTCTTTATGCTGTGCATGTATGGCATATCATTCTCATTTGATAATTTGCTCTGAAATGTCAACCAATCATCTTGCAGGATTCCTGTAGACAATAGGTATGGTATCTGATGTTCTTAGAGTCTAAGAATTTTTGTTTTGAATGTCAACATTCCATTTTGTGAACTACTAAGGGACATTTAGCATTAATTTTCATTGATGTTTTATGATGGAGGTAAAGCTCAGGGTTCCTCAATTAGGCAGTACTGTACTTCAAGCCATGCAAAACTTTAGTAAGTGCCATTCAATTACTTCTTATCAGTGAAGTTTGTAATTTTCCTGGAAATTTATGTTAAAGAATGAATTTGCATTTGCTGCATTATGGTTATTGTTCCTTGGCATTTGAAAAAAGTGTTATACTTTGAATTTTCTTTATAATTTATCCTGACAGGGTGGAGTTTGTAGCATATTATTTAGATCGTAACAGGCGTTTGATGGAATTGAAGAAGACTGTATCCAAGTTAGCATCCATGAATGAGTCCCTTCAGAAGGAAGAGCGATCCCTGAGGAAAATATTTGAAGAGGTAGGCAGTTTCTTTGGAGTTTTCCTTCCATCACAATCATATTCTCTAGACACATATGTCTCCTCAGGTGTCTGAAAAACACTCCAAGGTGCAAGAGCATGATCGTTTGGTGGAAGAAGCTCAAGGATTGCAAGCAGCCCTGTGTCACCTTTCTGGCAGAGAGTTCCCCCTCCCTCAGTTCCTCTCCAAGTCCAAACAGGAAACTGGTAGTTCACTGAGTCCTGACTCCCTCAAAGATTCCAAGAAATCAAACAAGAAATCAAGAGAAAGAAAAAGCATATTTGATCCTCTTCCACCTAAAGGTCAGCTGGAAACATGAAAATAGTTTGTGCCATCATAATGGTAATTAGATTGTGATGGTAAAAAGAAAATATGTATGAGTTTAGATGTGGGGCCAGGATTGAAACTTCTCACTTGTCATGTGTGCAAGAGCACCAAGGATCAACATTTCCTGGTCACCTGTGACACTTGTCATAGCCATTATCATATTGGGTGCCTTGACCCTCCTCTCACACGCATGCCCAAGAAGACTCGGCTTTATGGATGGTAAGTCCTTTCATCATCACAGTGGCATGATAGTTATTGTTCTGTTTAGTATTGTGAGAAGAGAAGGTTTCCTCTGTACAGATATAGGGTATCCAGATATGACTGGGGTGTTTTCTGGAATTTCAATTTTTCAGTAGCTCTGTTTTCTAGATGACTCACTTCACTAGTAGTTTCAGCTAGGTGCCATGTTTCATGGAAAGTTGTTGTCAAACAGAATCTGTTGACTTCAGCTAAGCCAAAGGCCTTTCTTCCAATCTGACAGCTTCTAAACATTGCACTTGCTCAAGTGCTGCAGCAGCACTACATTAATAGCACTGCTTTGCTCACTTTCAATTGTGGTCAACATCAATAAATGATAGGAAGTTAAGTATATAATGTAAATGAGACAAAAGAATGGAATTTGAGTATTGGCATTGCCTTGACAAGAAGTGCTCTGTTATGCCATTATGGATGGAATGGACTTTGTAAGATAGCCAATGAATGTACAATCAAGCTCCTGACCAGGAGAAATTGTAGGATATATAATATGACAGATTGATTGACAGTTTCTAAGGATTTCCTTGACTGGGATCTGAATGACTCCCTCTTAGGAATTGCACACTTTGTGAACTTCAAATATGGACCTTGGGCTTTTGTGGATTTCACTTGACTTGTAAAAGCTGTTATGATGAATGTTATGAAGGCTTCTTGGTACCAGATTTTTCTTTCTCTGAGGTTCTGTTTCTTAGAAACAATCATCCTGCAAACAGGTCTCATTTGCAAAGAAATTTGCTGTTAGACATGCCCAACCTATCTAGGCAGTTACTTACAGAATAATCTTTTTAAAATATTTGCTTTAAAATAGGGCCATTAGTTCCTTAATTCTCTCCACACAAGAAACTGCATGGCCATATCACTCCAGCAGTATTACCTTTCCTTTAAAGGAAGAGTTGATGCCTGAGTATTAAAAATAAGGTACGCTACTTATAACTTCACAACTTTGAAAGTATTTTGAAATTTTGAAAGGTCAGGTGTACTAAAAATAAAAAGTGCTTCTAGGAATGAATCAGGTCATGAAATCAAAGGAAAGCTCACCACAAATTGGATGGTTTTGGCCATTTGTGCTTCAGCATCATTCATCTTTCAGCTGCTCTTGCATTTTGCTTTGAATCATTTGCCATTTGGAAGCCATAGGCATCACAAATCAATTTTGCCCTGTATGTGAGCACCTGTTGAAGTGATTTGAATTGGGAAAAGATAGAGATTCCTAAAGCATTGGGTATATTGTTCTTGAAAAACACAAAAGAGAATCGTCAATCCACATCATGCAACTTGTCAATATTCAACTTTTTGAACTATCTTCTTGTAGGTAAATATACAAGGGTCATTCAATAATTTAAGATGTTCTTTAATTTTTTCTTGATCAGAGAAGTTCACCAATGTAGAAGCACTCAATATGCATTGATGGCTCCAGTTTCCTTTTCCTTTCCTCTCATGCTACATCACTGTTGGGTTATTGTTGAGTTTCTAATTACTAAAACATGCTGAGATGATACAGGCTTTGCCAAAAGTCCCTGACACATTTCAAGTTTGTTTTCTAGTTTGATTTTTCAATAGTTTTTACTTATTCTTCTGGAGATTTCAACTAATACTTTAGTGTTCATACTGAGACAATTTCAGAATTTCATCACAAATGTATTGACAACAGAGCAAAGTGGTGAAGTTGGAAGTTGTTCTTTGAGACAAAGTCTGTACCTCAAACTAAAAGGGATTATCACTGCCTTTTTAATGTTTATACAGCATCTGCATGAAACACTATCTTAAATCTTGTTGAAAATTTTCAAACTCAGTAATCTGACAGCTTTGTTCAGGAAAACCCAAAACCATAAAGCCATCAAAACGCATCAAAGAAGTCCAGCAGTCTGTTATGCAGAGTCCCAAGAAGTCTGGAGCTTGCCAGAGCTTGGAGCTACATATCAGTGAAACCTCATTTTGTTGAGTTTTGAGGATTGATCTACTTTGAAGAAGTTATACGTGGATTTCCTCAAGAAGTATGCCCCAAAGTTAAAACCCACTTTGCAGTCTGCATGAGGGAGTGCTTAAGTCAGCAAAAAAGGCCACATTGAATACGTGTTTAAAAAATTGTTGAAAGCTAGAAAGTAACTAGTTAAATAACTTCACATGATTAGCTACTTTTTGCAATTTACAGCATGTCAATAAAAATGTTTGTTCTTAAAGTTGTGAGCCGATTAAATGTGTCATTGAGTTTTGGTAAACCCTGTATCTCTAAAAGCAGTTTCAATAAGCTCTTAAAGTTTGGTAAATATATTTTAATTGGGATATATGCATCAACTGACACAGGAATCTAAAGGAATAAATGGAATAATATGCATTTTGAGGCATTAAATATGTATTAGTTTGTGTATTTCCATTCATGATTATATATATATATATATTATGTGGCTTATGCCAACCCCATTTTACCAGGTGGTACAAAAAGAAATAATCCTGTTGTATCCATCTTATTCTCTCCATCCTTCTCCACACCCACATTTCAAAAGCCTCTAACCTTCTGATGTCTTCCTTCCTCAAAGTCAATGCTTCGGACCCATATAAAGCCACACTCCACACCACTGCCTTCACTATCTATTTCTTTACCTGTTGGCTCATCCTCTTTGTTAATAACTCCTTTCTCTTGCTAAAAGCATCCTTTGGCATTCCTATTCTTGTTCTGATCTCCACCTCACACTTTCCATCATCTGTGATCAAAGCTTCTAAGTACTTAAACTTTTTCACCTGTTCCACTTTCTAGCCGTCAATTACAATGTTAATTATTCCTCCTCCTTTCCTAGACATCTTCATCACCTTTGTCTTCTTCCCATTGATCTTCATATCAAACTTCTTGGCCACCACGTTTAACCAATCCATCAACTTCTTAAGTCCTTTTTCTGTCGCCACCATACCTTGGTCATCTGCAAACCGTATACCCTTCAACAGCTTCCCCCCGACTTTCACACCTTCCTCAATCCCTTCCATAGCCTCATTCATCATCTTCTCTGCATAAATCGAAAACAAAATTGGAGATAAAGGGCATCATTGTCTAACTCCTCTGCCAAGCCCGCATGGTTCCGATTCGCCATCTACTATTCTAACTACTGCCTTCTGGTCTAAGTACAGCTTGCTGAGTAATCTCCTGTCCCTCCAATCAGCTCCGATTTCCTCAGTATCTCCAACATCTTCACCCAGTTTACTCTGTCAAAAGCCTTCTCAAAATCTACAAAGCATACAAACAGTTCATTCCCATGTTCAAGGTTCCTCTCGCAGAGCATCCTCATCACTCCAATTGCTTCCCTAGTCCCACATCCTTTTCTGAATCCAAACTGAGTCATTCCTATAAAGTCTGTTGCCTTCGCCTCTACCCTTCTTGTCACCACTCTCAACATGATCTTAGATGCATGCGTTACCAAACTGTCCTGTTATCTTCACATTCTATTACATTTCTCTTCTTTTGTAGCGGTATTATCACTGTCTTTGTAAAATCCTCTGGCCATTCTCCTTGCTGATATAAGCTTCGGCATAAATCTATCAATTCCCTTGTTGCGTTTTCTCCGAGGTTCTTCCAAAATTCAGCTGGTATTCCATCTACACCTTCTGCTTTTTTGTTCTTCATTTCCTTGATTGCCGCTTTGATCTCGCTTTCCAACAAATATGGCCCTTTCTTGTCTAGCTCAACCTCTTCTTCGACCTCTAATCCAAAGTCCTCCATCCTTGGCTTTCCATACAGCAACTCTATGTACTCCTTCCACCTGTTCCTTGTCTTGTCTGGCTCTTTCAAGAACTCTTCATTGCTATCCTTGATCACACTACTCTTGATACTTCCATTCCTTTGTCGGGTGATCTGTTTCACCTTGTTATACATAAAATCTGACCGACCATCTCCAGTTCTGGGCATTCTTCACTCCACCACTTCTCTCTAGCTTTATCCGTTTCCCTTCTAAGCTCATTATTTAGTTGTTCGTATCTCTTCGTTCTGTGTTTACATTCTTCCATTTCCTTCGTTCATCTATTTTTTGTAACATTCCATCTGTAACCCATGGTTTCTTTGCTACTCTTTGTTTCCTGTACCCAATGTTTTTTTCTGCACTCTTCACCAAAACATCTTTCAGATCCCTCCACTTTTCTTCCACTGTGCGTCGTTTTTCATTCAAAAACCTGACCTTTTCCTGAACCTCCTTCTGAAAATCCTCCGCTCTTTCTGGCAAACGCTCTATGTCCCACTTCCTCCTTCTCTTGCTCCTCTTCACTTTCTTCAACTTCACTAGCATTGACATTGCTACCAGGTTGTGGTCGGAATCCCCATCTGCTCCAGGATAGCTGCACGCGTTTTTCACCCCATTTCGGTATCGCTGCCGTACTAGCAAATAATCCAGTTGATATCTTCCTGTGTCTCCTGGATTTTTCCACGTATATATTCTTCTCTTTTCTTGTTTGAACCAGGTGTTAGGTGTTTCTTGTTTCTTGTGTTTCTTGTTTGAACCATCATCCTTCTTCGCCTACAGAACTCTACAAGCTTCTCTCCTCGTTCGTTTCTCTGCCCTAATCCAAACTTCCCAATCTCCTTTCCATCTCTGCCTTCTCCTACTGCCGCATTCCAGTCTCCCATCACAACAAGATTGTCATGTCCTTTTTTTGCTTCAATCAATTCCTCCAGTTGCTCGTACACATCATCCAAGTCAATATCTGTATGTTCTGAAGTTGGCATGTAGACTTGTACAATCACGAGATCCACAGGTTCCGCCTGCACTTTCACCAGGATCAATCTACCACTATGCTCTACTACCTTTGTCACTCTCTTTGCTGTTTCCTTGTCCAACTACTCCTCTTTGGCTCTCCTTTCCTCCTGCATAGATTACCCTTATTCCATCACTGACGAAATCTCCTCCATCCTTCCACCGCACTTCACTTAGTCCTAGGATGTTCAATCTGTTTTTTTCCATCTCTCGTTTGATGTTTTCTAACTTTCCT